GAAAAGGATTGGAACAGAAGATCCAGTCCTCTGAGAGCAGAGAGTGAGGGGCAGCATGAAGAGAATTGCAGAGACAGTTATGTACAGTGAGTAGGTCTGGAGAAATCCTCATGTCTGAAAACCACATCTCTTTTGCCTATCCCTCTCCAAACCCCATCCTTTAAACATACCATGGCCAATCTTGCTGACAGACTTCTCCTTTGGAATTAGAAAGTCACCTACAAAACAAAACAAAACCATAATTTAACATTGTTTGAAAAGCAGGAATCATTCCTTGATCTGGAAACTGGCCCCTGATCCCTCACTCAGCCTTTTTCCATCCCCTCTGTGTAGCTAACTCATTGCAGGGCTTACCTTTCTCGTCCAAAACACCTTTCTCAAAGAAGAATCTAATCTTGTCTCCACTGGTTAGGAAATAATCTGAGCTACCCTGCAGGGATAAGAGCCCAGTAAAGACAGCATCCTTGTAAAAACATAAATGTCCTTTCAATCAAAGCATTAACACTCACCTGCATCTTTTTCCCACCAAGCCGCCGCATGAACAAAACACAGTGAAAAAATCACTCATAAAAAGGCTTTCCACAACACTACATGTCCTTGTGCCGATCAGGGCTTTACAAGAACCTCTCACACAGAGGTTATCCTCGCTTTTCTTTTGCTAGCTGCCTGGAAAATAAGCATTTTTCTGCCTGCAGAACATGTACAAAGTGATCTGTGAGAGCTGCTTGTGGCTACGGGGGGTTGAAAGCACGGCAGAGCCACACATTGATAAGACTCTTGATAAGACCCCAGCAAACATTTGCAGAAAGCTGAAGAGCAAATTCCTCTCGCGGCGTTATGTTCAGTTAGAAGGAAGAGTCATGTTCCCCCAGAGCACACCCTGATCAGCAATTTGCCTTTTCCCCTCCTCTGGCCAGCCCTGCCCGTCTCGGTACCTGCTCCCGGAGCTGCTCGTCCTCCCTGGTGGAGAAGGCGGTGCGGCAGTGCGGCGGCACTTCCATCTCCGCCACGATCCTCTGGATCTGCCTCCTCATGCTGTCACACTCCTCTGCGCTGAAAAACTGCTCCAGGACAAGGAAGCCATCCTTGTGGAACTGGAAGAGACGGGGTGACTGCTCTTCCCCGGGGGAAGCAAGAGAAAGCAGCTCTGGCCCTTTAGGGGGTGAAAAGCATCCCAGCCCCAGCTCTGCAGCCAGGCAGCGTGTTCTTAATTTTTAATTTCAAGAGGGGTTTCTGTTGCAAAAGATTAATTAAGAGGCTGAAATTCCAAACAGTTAAGAACAATCTATTTCAATCCCTCAGTCTACACAAAACAGAGATCTCATCACTAGAGCCTTTTGTGGTTCAAGGATATCTTATCTAATGCCTGTAACCAGCAGTTTTTAAACTACCAAGCACAGTAAGACAAACAGGGCAGTCGAGCCTGTGTGCCAAATCAGAATGAGATTCCTTTACAAGCTGGAAAACTTTGTTCTCTCTAAGGAAAAAAAAAGACCCTGGGTAATATCTCACAGTTCACTACACAATCCTTTACAAAATGAACTCTGTTGGCAGTGAACTCGGTTTCTTTATATAGAATACCCTGGAGATTATCCTTTGCCAGGAAGATTTCGAGTTCAGGGATGAGAGCTGAGCAACACAGACAGAAGGGGCACGGGAGAAATCCCTCCAAGAGCTCTGTGGGACAAGCTGCCCCCGCAAGAGTTTGTAGCCATGATACTCACACACTAAAATTAACGTGGTACAAGAAGCTGAGGAGAATATAAAGTGTTTGCAAAGCAGATCTTGGATAGAGCTGCTGCCAGGTTAACCAGCAGTGACTGTATCTCACACACCGTGTCATGCCTGCCCTCTGGACACGCTCCCTCCCTGCAGAGCAGCTCCTTACCTTCTGGATCTGCTGCTGGCTTACGGATGCCATGGGGCAGAAGCTCCCAGCACCAGCACCTCGGTGCCACCTGGGCTCTGCAGGGCTGGCTCCCCGCCTCTCCACGTGATCCTTGTCCCAGCATGTGATAAAAGCCAGCGCTGGGCAGTTGGACTCTTGCATAGCTCAAAGATTTTTGTCCCCATTGCCAGTTCTTTGCTGGGACATTCAGGACTGCACAGTACTGCTTTGGCTCTTGGTGGTTACAAAGCACACAAAATTTTTCTATTCAAGTGCAGTCACAGACTTGATGAACAGCTGAGCTCCAAGGAGGAATCACTTTTAATTAATAACCCAGATTTAAAAATAGGGCAGTTAAACTGGTAATCACAAGAGTAAGAAAGATAAAGGGAGTTAAAATAAGAGTCAAGTGTGAAGAAAAGATCAAGATGTCTTAGAACAAGTTTAAAGTACTGATTCAAGGTCTTACAGAGCCCTTTTTGCTTAGTCAGTGAGTCCTGCCAGCACTTCAGCATATCCCCTGAAAGGGCTCCCCAGCCCAGGAGGTGACAAACAGACTAAAATGTGGTAAAGAGCTTTAGTAAAAGTATGGGTTTAGTAAAACCCATAGGGAATACTTCTGCTGTTTTCATTCACAGCTGCTTTTTGATAATTTACACCTTCACTTGCTCTGTTCACTCTCCTGCAGCTCCAGAAGTCCATGTAATATTTACAAATAAGTAAAGCCAAATCCACCCTAAGTTCAAACCAGAGAGCAAAATGCAGAAAGTGGAACCAAAAGGCAGAGGGAGGAACAGTTGCCAGCCCAGCGGTGGCGCTCCCAGCCAACACATCCCTCCCATCGGGAATCCCTGGGGAAGGTTTTCCTCTCTAGGAGAAAATGTGTTTGGCTCCTAGAGGAAACACCGAAAACACCCTTGAGCAGCACTTCACAAAAATAACACCGCGGGGGCGTGTTCTTGCATCACTCACCCAGCCAAAGGAAAACCCAGCAAAAGGAAGGAATGCAAAATGTTCACAGGAAAGTGTTTACATCCTAGCAACTGAAAATCCATTTAAAGAGAGGGTGTTTGAAAAAATTAAGTTTTCTATTCTGTAAGGGAATTGTGGATAAAATCACTCTGCACCTTACTAAAACTTTTTTTTTTTTTTAACTAAAGAGGAAATTAGGGGTTTAACTTTTTTCAGGCTTTACCCAGTACACAGGAGGATATGAATTCAGTAGTTTAAAAAGCTAAATTCTGCCAGAGACTAATCACTGGACTACAAACCTGGAGGGGGAAAAAAAACCAAAAATCAGTCTCCAATGCTATAAAGCTCAAAAAAAAAGAGGGAAGGACTACTGGAATATTAACACTCTCACCAACTGATGGAGTGGAAAAGTTTTTAAGGAAGATGCATGACCAGTGGGGAAAAAAACCAGCTGTAGATTGTTGCCTGCAAGTTGATTGTGTGACCCACCTCACCCCTCCCCAGGAGGCAGCAATCCTGGAGAAACATTCCTGGAAAACACTCCCACACCACTCCTTAGTCCCTCTCCGTCACTGTCGTGTCATGTCCTTCTCGTTCCCACACACGGTGGTTTTTACCGGCAATTTATCACGTCACCTTCTCCACTCCCCACCTTACACACACACGATGACTCCAGAGGCTGTTTTGGTTCGTGCCACAGCAGCAAACCACAGTTTTCCTGGTCCATGGAATGTTTTGAGCAATATAAACAGCAGATCACAGCAAACAATGCAGCAGCTACCAGGAGATAAAACCCATCCTGGTTCCAGCTCTCCATGCCTGTCCTCAGGAGTCCTCCCATTCTTTGCCACTCCAGCCATGCCCCTATTTTGAGGCTCAGAAAGACCTTTCCAGCAAGAGGAAAACCACTCTGGCCACACAATGCCCAAAAAAAGTCAAAGAGAAGGATGCCACCATTGTAAAGCCTTCTCTCCCCTTAAGTTTACACAGAAAGGTTGACAGTACTTAGACAAAACTGGGAAATGGCTCCTTTTCCTTCCCTTCCTCGTCCTCCAAGAGCTCTTTTTGCAAACTCAACATTTTCTCCTGCCAGCTCTGCAAGAAAACTTCTGGCAAGCTCCATTGGAGGCTGCCAAAGCCCAGCCCATGTCTGCAGGAAAGGTGCAGATCAAGTGTTCCAAACGCCTTTTGGACTGGCACGATTATCCCAGTAAGGGCTCCCATTGAAGCCATTTGGAGCCAAGCCAGCTCAAGCAGCTCAGCACTTGTACCAAAACTGCTGCTGTGGAGCTGCCAGGGTTATCAAGGAGGAAAATTTTCCACTGGACCACTTCACCTCTCCTGCAGTCTTTGATCAGCAACAAGTGAGAGAATATTTAATGAATACAAGGAGTAAAGGAAGAATGATTGCCTCATCTCCTCAGAGACCAGGTAAGTCCTCCAAAAGGTAAACCAGCCAAAAGGAGCTGAGGTCCAGGTGAGCCTTAGATGACAAGGGACATGTTGTCCTCTCCTTTTTTGGTTCAGTCCTGCATTTCATTAAAACTCATCAATCAGCAGCATTACAAGCTCCCACTCACCTGTTTCAAAGCCTGCTTACGTTCTCTGTCTGAAGTGGGGCCAATGTCACTGTGGTCAAGTAGACACAGACAAAGGAAGTGAGGGAAGGAAAAACTCAAGAGAAACACCTTTCTACACAATAAAAGAGCTGCACAGAAACTCAAATTTTCTTTGCAAGTCACAGCCTGATTCTCTGTAACACTCCATGAATTGGGAAAGACACTATCTGCAGCATTTCCAGTTAAGGAGCCCATGGGGAAAGCAGGTACTGAATTTACCAGTCTGAAGACAATTCCTATGGCAACAGCCATAAATTCAGCAACAGAAACTGTTTTGGACACTTGTAAAGTGATAGTGAAACATGTGAAACAGCCCCAGCTTGTCACAGAGCAGCACCTCTTTCTCTATACATCTACTTAATTCATAGAGGAATGTCATAATCCACTGGGACTTCTGTCATGAGTAAAAGAACCCAATAATCCTACACAATAGCTGGAATTATTAACATCTGTCTTTTGAAAAATGACATCATGGAAGGCTGAATGCCTTCATAGACAGGAAACACGAAAGAACACAGACATAGAAAGAAAATGCAAATTAAAACTTTTATTCTGGTGAAGTGTCCAGTTGTACAAGTCCTTCAGAGCAAACAAGAGCAGCCTTCAGTGCTCACGGGGAAGGTGCTGCTGCTCAGCTGCCCAAACAATCCCACGTGCAAAGTGAATGTCATGATTCTGAAATGCTACACCAAGTTGCAGGTCCCAGATGCCAAACCACAGCCCTGCTTGTGCATTTACACAATGGGAGTGAACCATGCTTAAGCCATGAGTAGTGACTTATTGAAATGGACACATTTGTCAGCTGTAAAGATGACTCAGGCTCAGTAGCCCCCTTCTCATTAAGCCTCCTCCAGAAAAACTCTTCCATTGTCAAATAAAATTCCTTTAAAGGAAATGGAGGAAGGGATGGAAAATTCCAGGAATCCTAAATTAATCCTTTGTGTGAACTCACACGAAGTTGACCTTTGCCACTGGGGTCCAGCAATTCAAGTGCTGCTACTTTTGAAACTGGATTTTGGATATGAGACTTCTGGAGGATTTCAGACTCCCAAAGCAGTTTAATATTAATCCATTGCCACAGCTGGAAGGAGAAGGGTCTGAATCAAACTTGAATAATCCTACCCCACTCCAGTTGTGCTTTGTACACTGTTAGAATGAGGTAGGACAGAAAACTCATTCACTTTTGGCACATGCTTGGGAAAAGTACATTATCCACTGTGGCCAAACAGTAGAGTTAAAATGGAAGAAAAACTTTAAAAGTGAAGCTTAAGCAATAATTTTCCTAGTTGGCATCCCCACAGCCTTACCTTAGGTGACCTCCAGAGCAGGTGACTCTGCTTACAGTATGACAGTGTTGTCTGGCAGTAAGAAATCACCCCAGAAGTTGGGAAATCTCTCCATGGTTAAAAGAAAAAGAATCCAAGGGATGAGTTGGCTTCAGGCAGGCACTGCTACAAATACACTCCAGGGAGCAAGTGCCTCTGGGGAGATTACATTAACAGATCTATAGAGAAGGCACAGCTATTGATGAGGGGGGAAAAAGTTACTCTTCCCCTGAAGGAGGACTGAAAAAACATTTAAAAATCCAAGGAACTCCAACCATGTGAGTTCCATTCTAAAGCAGGAAAAGAGGTAAGAAAAGGAAACAATGTCACAGCCTAGGAATCAATAAAATTTGAAACTTTTTTCCAGACAACTCATCCTCTGTAAAGGATGTGTGTTATTGTTCTCAAAATTCCTGGAATCAATTGTTTAAGAGGAAAAAAAAAAAAAAAAAGACGAGGACTTCATGTGGTTCAGCAACAGAAAGCCACTTAATACTACTTACAGTAATGAACACCAAGAACTTTAATTAAAATGGAGTGAGCTAAATGGAGTGTATAAATGGTAATAAGAAAAATAATTAAAAATGAGGTAGGCTATTAAAAAGAAGTGACAATTAATATGAAAGAACAGCACATCACGAAAGATATCTGTAACAGTTATTTAACCACTCAGACTGACAGAGTAAATTACTTCCAGCTGCTAAATTAACTGGGGATCAAATAACAAAATCAGAAAGTAATCTGAAACACAGATCAACTTCAACTAACATTACAGTGCATAGTGTCAGGGTACAGCACAATTTTACACATTTAATAGGTTTTGTATTCCTTGCCTTTCAGCTGGTTCAAAATAATTGCAATTTATCACTTTTTGGGGTATTTAGCAGGAAAGGTAAAGTGCATGTCACTAACCTTCAATCCTAACATGGGATGAGCATCATTGTGATCTCCAAGAACTCGTTCAGCTCAGAAGTGCTATTAAGGAAACAGGTGGGTTTAATTCAAGTTGCTGTATTGCTTTAGCAGCTAATAAATAATCTGGTTTGCTTCTGTTTTGAACAGCTTGTCAGGAGAACAAGACACTGACCAGGGCAGTGACTGTCTACTTAAACTGAATGCTTTTTGTGAATGCACCAATCTTTGACAGAAATAAACCCCCCAAGCTTCAGTCTGATGGAAACTTGAAGGAAAATACACAATATTCATGGATTGAATACTTGCAAGTGAAAATGGATTGTTGATGTAAGGACATCCCTGACAGAATGAGCAATCCAGAAAAATTTGGGAAGTTACTTGCTCTGCTGTGGGTTGAGTTTTGCAGCAGTCCTCAGTCATAAACATGTTCAGGACTCATGGTCTAGATCCTATCCTTGGAAATTTTAAAGCTTTTTCCATCTCATCATACAAGACTGATACTCTGGGATCAAAAGAGAGACCAAGCAGCACATGTCAGAAGTAAATAATGCATATTGTTGTCTTTCAGAGTGACAATGTATTTGTGGCACCTGCATTTCCAGTACAAAACATTACCAGACTGCTCATCCCCATTCTGGCACACAGGGAGCTCTCAAGCCCCAGCAGCCTAAACCAAAAGAGTTAAGCTTGGACTATTGCAAAAGCAGCACAAAGCTGGCATTTTCATGCATGATCAATTACCAGCTTGTTTTACAATTGCTTTGCACACCTCAGGCCCAGGGCAGCCTCTGCTCAAGAAGCAGCAGGAGCACAGCACTGTGACTTGGCCAGGAGTTGAAGGCAGTCCCTCTCTTCTGGCAGAACTGCCTGTTGTTCACCCATCCTGCTGGGATACAGAGCTGTTCAGGAGGCTTGCACACTTCTAGAAGCACTGCAGCATACTTTCAGGAGCTGCTTATAGAAACTCTAACCCAGCTGTGCAAAGTTTAGATTGTATAATTAAAACCACACCTGGAATCAAGAGTCAAAGCACTCATCTCCAATCTAGACATCCTGGAGACATCTCACTGCTCCTGTGAGCCAGGTGAAACTCCCAGGAACTGCTTTGCCCTTTCAGCCCTTCATGGTCTAAAATACATGAGCAATAAAACAATCACCCAGTGGCCTTGAATAGCAGAGTTCACATCTCCATTCAGTGGCCATTATTCTCCAGTGCTATCTTTTAGCACAGACTAAGTTAAAAAAGCTTCCTTCACCATCCAAACAGCCCCCACATCCACCACAGGGAATTGACTGGAAAACAGCATTTCTGTAGCTAAGCCTGAAGCCATTCCTGCTTTACTCAGGAAACAAAGCCCACCTAACAATTTCTGTCCTTTCTGTAATCCGGAATGCTCGGGCAAATACAAATACAATCCAATCAGCATCAGTCCTTCCCCATCCTTTCAGCTGTGGCCCCAGCTCTAACACAATTTCAAGACACTAACCCTATTAGAAGCCAGAAAAGCTTTTACAGTACCTTGCCTCCCAGATGGAGATTTAATTATATTATCCCCTGGACTGTTTAGACGTTTTATAATGAATGGACTAAGGGAAGCAAGATTTACATTTTTCTTAAAAGCAGTTTTATAAACAGATCTCCCGATTTTAATGTAGCTTTATTTAAGCATCTGAACATCAATAAATCCAGAGTCCAGTTAACATTGTTCATGGTTTCAGCATATTTAGTATATATATATTTCATATCTTACATCTGATGAAGAGAGCCACACTGTGCCTTATTGCCCCACCATCCACGGGATCACCACAAGCCAGGTGATAAGCCAGGGCACTCTGGCAGATTGTCAGGAATCCCTCTGGAGCTGGATGTAGCTTCCCCCTTTGTGCACATGCAAGGCCTCCAAACTTCTCATGCTCCAGCTTGCAGCACTGCACCTGGGAGCTGACCTGTTGGTCTGATGCAGAATATTACAACCAAGACCTGTAGGTCCAGGCACCTCCTCTTCCTTCTGATGGAAAAAGACCTTTGTGTCCCAGAGGCATCTTAACCACCCCACCTTAAGGACATGATAATCAGTAACTGCTACACATTATCTACCTCTGCCAGCCCAGAAGGTTCAGGGGTTTTTTGACAAATCCCACCAAACAGGCCAAACTTGTTTCAGTAAAGGCTGCTCTGTTTCAGGAAGTCAGAAGAGCTCAGTTCACAGAGGATTCTCATTCTCCTCAACACTGAGGGAATGAAAAGGGAACGAACAAACAAGAGGACAAGATTTCTTTTCCAGCACCAGGTTCAATCAGCATTAGCCTCTTATTTAGGTCAAGAGGTGTAACAGGAACTGACAGCTGTTAAAGTGAGGGGAACAACAGAAGAGAACAATCAAGCAGCTCTCCAGACTGCATCCATGAAAAACACTGGCAGAGCACTGAACAACTTAATTCAACAATTTAATTTTGGGGGAAGGCAGAATGGGGGACAAGAGGTGCAGAGGAAACCCAAATTTCCTCTCCAACCCCATGAGAGCCCCTGACACACTGGCCAGTTTTACAATTCTACTTGATATGCAACAAAATATCAGCAATTAAAAAGCAACTTGGAACTAAAAGCCAGAAGCAACTCAATGCTTCTGAGAGAGTAGACTGGACAGTCCAACTGCTTTTTATGCAGATCTCCCACCTGCACTATAACCATCCATTTCAGAACAGGCTAAAGCTCTGGAACTGTGTCAGTTAGTGCCTCCAGGACATCAGGTGGAGAAGGATGCTGTGACCTACTCACCCAAACAAGTGACTTGAAACCGTTACAGTAGTGCAATCTTAAAGGTTTGGTTCCTTCTCCAGGGGCAGAGGAGAAGGTGGGGAGTGTGCAAAGGGGAAAGAAAATTAGTAAAAAAAAATTTCTGCCTTCAAGCAGCTGCAAGATGTTTATCTCCCAAATCCTAATGCCAGCATCTAGATAAAATCAGCTGTGTCCTATCCCACCCCAGTCTGGGGGCTCACTGACTGAATCTGGGGAGCAGTATCAGCTGTCACAGAGATGGAGGTTCAAGAGGTTTCCTTGTCTCTTGATCTTTGCTTGCAGGACACTGGACTCCCTCAGTCCCTGACACATATAAGCCCTATTAGGAGTAATGCAGCAATTCCCACATTCATTTTCTCCTCCGTTCAAAGGTCATTTCTTCTCACCAGCACCATCCACCTCACCCCAATTCCTGTCCAGAAGAACAGCAACACCTCTAATTCCCCCTGGGCCCTGCTCAGAGGCCATTAATCTGTCTTGATCCTCATCCTGATCCCAAGCCTCCCCCATCCTGCATCTGAGGCAAGAAGCTGACTCATTCAGAGTCACATTTGTCAAGTACTCCTTGGCCAGTTTGATAGTGATTGGAGTGGAGAAAGGGGAGCATCTGGGTGAAAGGGGACTGAAACGGCCTTTTGCTTCCTTCTAGTTGATCAGAGGCTTTCCCCTTTTCTCAGGGGTTCACGCTTGCTCTTTGTCTGCCCTCCACAGGCGCTCTTTGACTTCCAGGGGCAGGGTGTTGAACAGGTCCTCCTCCACCACGAGCCCACTGCGTTTCAGCAGTGGGCACTCTCCCAGCTCCACGGGCAAGCACTCCAGGCGGTTCCCCCGCAGCTCTATCTGCGACAGATTGGTCAGCTCTCCCACCCGGGAGGGCAGGGACTGCAGCACGTTGTTTCCCAGGTTCAAGGTTCTCAGCTTCCTGCACTGGAACAGCTCTGGTGGGAGACTCTCAATCTGAAAAAAAGAAACCAACCATAGGCAAAGTCACCAACAGACACAGACACGCCTTCACAGGCGACCACAAGCCAACACAAAGCTCCAAGGTTTACAGAGTCATTGTTTTCAATCGTCCACTCCTCCCTTGAGTGAGCTCCTGCTTTCTGAGCTTCCTGCTTTGGGTGCTCCCAGCACTCTGATTGTATGGATTCCTCTTTTAGACACTGCACTAGGTACACAAGATCACCAATGGTGGTGGCTAAAGCAGATATTGTCTCCAAGGCCAGGATCAGACGACCAGAAACCTGCTCACAGCTGGCCTATACTGCCACATGCTTTCATCTGTATTGGCTTCTTTCCATCCCAAATCCTTCATTCTGTCATTGGATCTTAGCTCCTTTGCTTTAAGACATCATTCTACAGTTGACATTACACTGAACAAAGACTGGATCAGCACTTCCAGCTGGGCTGTAAGGTGACAGAGATCACATGGGTACAACCTCCTGGCCCTGAGGACTGGGAATCTTCTTCCATCATTCCTGTAGGGCTGCAAAATGTTGCAAAGACTTTCTAGGCTCCAAGTCCCAGAGGCTTTTTACAGTGCCAAAAATACAACAACAAAGTCATCAGTTGTTAGCTTTCCCAGCACCACCTTCAGGTAACCATGAATCACTAATTTAGTAAGCCTTATTTCTAGCAAATCCTTGTAATAGTCCAGTCTTCCCAAAGAATTTCTTTCTATGGCTAAGGTTTAGCAAACACTAGGCTAGAAATTAAATGCAGCAACTCAGGATCCTCCCCTTAATACAAAGTCTCAGCTTGGAGGCTATCATTTGCCTTTAAAAGCAAAAATTGCTCTTCTAAACTCAAATTATGTAGCATATCATTTGTGCTAAATTAGCCTGTAATCCATTCTGAACGAGGAGGAATCTAAGAAAAAGCCAAGATGAAACCAGACCAATTAGAGACATTTCAATGCAGTCATTGTTACTGGTACTGGAGTGTTTTGCAAACAGCAACATATGATCACAGACTCTTGAAAATAATAGTTATTTGAGGGACAAGTATTGGTTTAGGAAGGAAGCAATGTGTTAGAACAGCCTGCTTTCCAGAACAGGACAGCAGTGCCAGCCAGCTCCAGAAGTCTCTATTCACTAACACTGCTGAGCTAGGAGAGGAGATCTGAGATAATTCCTGGCCTTGGGAAGTGCCAGACTACCAGTCCTTGTGTTTCTTGCTGTCATTATTTACTGGGAGTAACCAGGCTGTCAGTAATTCTGGCTTGCCCAGGTATCTAGTACAGGCTGGCTGCTCCATGGGGTCCTCACCACCTTTTGTTTCTGAACCCCCTGGAGCAAAGGCTGCTCCAGCTTTCCTGTTGCATGGGTTTTTTTCCCAGAGAAATGGGTGGTGGCACACTGTGCTGCAGGAAATGGAGCTGCCTGTAACTCCACTCATCCAAGAAACACTCCACCCCAAAACTGCAGAGGATACACTGCAGATTAACCCTTGGGAAGCTGTGCTAGGAAGGCTGCCAGAAGGCAAATGGTGCAGAATTATTTGAGTTCTGAACAGTAACATACCACAAAGTTTACCAGAGCTTCAGCCACCCACACAAACAGATGCATAACCCTCCAGTGCCAGGAAACCCCAGCGAGCAGATGTTCAGCTGGAATTGCTGAATGACTGCTCCTTGTCTGCCCCTACTCTGCAGAGGCACAAGCTTTCAGACACTAACCTCAAAATATGGCTAGAGTTTCAGGAACCCTGTCTAATACTGAAATACACTATCAATAAAATACTTGATTTGAGAGCACTTCTGTGAAAAGCCAAACTACACTCAAGCTGTTCTGTGTCTCTCACAAGCAATCTGGCAGTGTTCAGCCAGGAACAGATCTTGCCAATAGTAGGGAGGACCTTGATGTATGACAGTGAAAACCAGCACTGCTCCAGGACAATTCTGCTTGGTCCCAGAAGAAACCTAATTATCTGTCTGCATTTTGTACTTATGTCAGGGACTCCTTCAACTTAAAGTCATAATAAATTCAAAGGAAAAAGTCTCCCAGGAATTTGCAGATGGAATGAATGAAAGCTTCAGCTTTGTCAGGCATTCTAGATAAAATCAGCCTAGTCTTAAATGAAGTCTCCTAAGTCTTAAAGAAACAAAAAACTAGACATGGGTATAGTTTGCTTTAAGCAAATAAACATCCTCCAACACAAGCCAAGAAACATCTTAGGGTAATCAGGCAGCAGAGCACATTTGGTCATCCTCTCTTATCTGCCCTGCACTTAGACTGAAACAAAAAACACACATTTACAAGACCAAACTATGGAGTAGTCCCTGCAAATGCAAAGTACTCTAAGGAAAGCTGTCAGCCAGACATGCATTCCCTACGTGGCTGCTCCCACAGTGTATGTACATGTCTGAAGTAGACAGCTTTAAGCACACAGTTTTAGATCAAGACTACAGTTTCTCAGATCTCCATTTTAAGCCCAAAATCGATGTCAAACTAGAGACTGCATGCTTCCAACTGCAGAGAAACAACTTACTTGCAGGGTTTCTAAACAGCCTCCAATAGGCACTTGGAAGCAGCCTCACTGTTAAAGAGAGGAAATGCAACAGGACAAGGACTCTTAGAAGACAGGCTTGCCCTGGAGCTATCTGCAGTGTTTGGCCTCAGATAAACCCCTCAGAGAGCTACAAAGGCAGTGCCAGTTGTATCTACAGACCATTGTAGCATGTTTAATCACACAGATAACAGAAGTGCCGGCACTATTTCCTCACACAGCAACTCAGCTCTTTGCTCACTTACCCTGTTGGCTGTCACAGCCAGATTCTGCAGGTTTTGAAGAAGTCCAACATCTGGTGGTATGAAAGTTAAGTTGTTGTGGCTGAGATCCAAGTACCGAAGTTTTCGGCAATAGAAGAGCTGGGTAGGGATCTTTTCTATCTTGTTACGGTTCAGGTAAAGGCGTTCTAAGTTGGTCAGGTTGCCTATCTGCATGGGGATGTAGGCAATGTGGTTGTACCACAATTTAAGGCAAGTGAGACGATGCAAGTGCTGGAAGCTGATGATTTCCTCAATAGTCTTTAGGTTGTTGTCCTTCAGGTCTATTTCCTGCAGATTGTGGAGGCTAAAGATAGAGTGAGGAATGCGTTCCAAGTCACACCGGATCAGCTCAAGCTCTGTCAGGTTGACCATCTTCTTAAGGCTGTTGAGGACAATGAGCTTGGTGCCCTCATTGTTGATGGAAAGCTTCTGAAGATGGACACCAACATCTGTCACCACCTGCGGCAGTTTGGTGAGGTTACTCTTCATCCTCAACACCTTCAGCCTCTTCAGCTCCCTCAGTCCATCGATCACAATGTACCGGTTGTTTTCAGCGCTCAAATTCCCTGTCAGGTGAAGCTCCTCTAGTGTCTTCAGGCTATAAATCCAAAGAGGAATCTCCTTAATGTCTGTGAACTTGATGTGGAGAGATTTCAAATTCTCCCTCAAGAAGGCAAGGGCTGGGGCCTCAATTTTGGCAGCTGTGTGGTAGAGCCACAGTTCCTTAAGGCTGGTGAGCTGAGCAATGCTGGGGGGAATAGTGACATCAGGGATAAGCTCCAGCTTCAAGACCTCCAACTCAATGAGGTCAAAGACTGTGTCAGGAATGCCACTCAACATGAAAAGATGCAATTCCAGCTTATCCTGAGAGTTTTTGGTGATCCTCTGGCGTAGTTTCTCCAAAGTCCACTCATTGTTGAGGTTCAGCTGCCGCAATTTGTTCTCACTCACCTCTGACAGAAAGACAGCAAAGCGCTTGGAGTAGAGCGGGTCGTACTGATCGATCAGATGGAGCATAAAGGCAAAGTCATTTTTCACATCAGGAATGTCACTGTAACTGCTCTCCTCTCGGATGGACTCAAAGGAGTATTTCTTGAGCGACCGCCTCAACATCCACCACAGTGTGTACATGCAGATCAAACCATAGAAAATCACCAGACTGATGTAGAAAGAAGCCAAGATTTTGAAGAGAGTGGCCAAAGGATGAGCACAGCGGTACATCCTGTAGCCAGTCAAGCTCTCAATGTCCACTTTACAATCTACATCAAACGTTATGTTGTTGACATAGTACACAGTATAGCAAATTATCAGAATGAACTTGATTACTTTGATTATGGTCTGTCTCATGTACAGGCGATAAACTATGTCTCCCTCTTCCACGTGAGTACGGAACTTTTTCACTTTTTCAAAGAGTGCTTTGGCTTGCTCACCTTCCTTTTTGTCCAAGACACCCGTCTCAGACCTGTCCACAATCCCTTGCTCAATTCGAGACTTTGTTCTCTGCAGCATGGGAACAGTGGCTTCCACATCCTCACTGACTGTGGAGGATTTCTTGTCCATGGAGCCATTCATTTTTCCAAATGCTGGTTTGGTATCACTCTCTTCCACCACCGTCTCAGACAATGCTCTCGTTGTCCATGGAGAGTCAAAACACTTAAGCAAAATAGACACAAAATGCTCCAGCTTGGAGCTGGTCCTTGGGAACTTGAACCAGAAGTTGCTACAAGCCAGAAAGATGAGGGTATGTAGCAGCACTAGATAAGGAAAATACTTGGCAAACCAGTGAAGACGGTTCTCGTAACACACCGCATCCACGTAGTTGTACTGGTGCCGGTCCAGATCGTATCGGATCCCCGTAGGCCCCGAATCAGCAGAGGGAACAAGGCTAGTGTTGTAGTAGGTACGCTCTGGGGCAGCCACTGTCCATCCCCTGACAGAGTCATTGCAAGAGTCTTTGGTAACCCATTTGCAGGGCAAACAAATCATTTTGTCCTGGGTGACCTGGAGCGTCCCTCCGAACACGGCGATCATCAGCATCACTATGGAAATGTAGTCCGTGAAGACGTCCCACCACGGCTTCAGGATGCGATAGGCTGGCTGAGTGTCAGCGAAGTAGCGCAGCTCGGTGACTGGAATCATGATTCACCTGGAAGCAAACCAGAAACAGCTTTAAGGGTTTTGTTCTGCTCTTCAAGAGGGCATGAGAAATCACATGTTAAGTGCTGGCATGGCAAAACTGGGATTAGCCGAGATGCAATTTCAAGTAACTGTGAGACAAATGAAGGAGGCTGCCTGTGAGTCATTTGCAACAGCCCAGACATGAAGTTTGTTCAGCCTTCCCTGACAGACAAATTGTCACAAAACCTCAGAACCGGCACTTATTGTTAGCAGTCTGTGGGGTAAGACACTCAAAGAAAGCTCACAGGGACTTAACTCCCTTGACCAGACCAGTACTTGGAAATTTACTGTTTTATCTAGGCATTTAATTTCAGGGATGAAGGAATTTGCCAGCACTGTTAGAAGTGATAAAATCTACACACAGAGCACATTTATCATTGGTTTGTTATTGCTTCCACATAAAATTCTGCAGGTGTCTGGTTCTCAGATTGCAGGGGCAAGGAAAAAGATCTACATACAATACAGGTATGTTTCCTATAACCACTTCATTGGTGCAACTCAATGACATAATGACATTCATAAAGCAAGCTGGAAAAGAGAAAAAACATTGCTCAATATCATGACTTTTCCAAGTAAGTAATTTTGGCTTCCTTCCTACGAGTTAATTCTCCAAGGAAAGATTAGCTACTTGACTTCTGATAAATTCAGTACTGAAATGCTGTAGCAGCTGGGTTTTTGCCTTACTTCAGAAGCAGAGGAAGGGGGAAACATACTTCGAAGAATTTGCTTCTCTGACCAACCTAGAGTTCATCTCAGCAGGGATTTAAGTGTCACAAAGGAAACCAAAAGGTTCTGGGAAGCACAGGCCTGATGGCAGTGCTTATTCTATCCTTCAGACTTGCAGATGAAACTTTGAGCAAGCTCTCCAACCAGCCATAGAAAGCCCCAAAGCCTGACTGATCCATGGATAATGCAGCTCACAAAACTCCCCTATTTGACAGGTAACACAGAAGAACATGGAGTCACTGTAGCTCATTCTAACGACAGTGAAAAAGCAGTAGTAGCACAGCATCCTTCTAGCACAGTTCAGGAGCAAGACAAGCATTAGTCTTTCAGTCATTTTGAAACTCACACAATTCAAGTATAAAGGAGAAAACAAAAATTCAAGCATGCTACCCCAAGCCCTAAGATTTCATTTGTACAGATGGTCCAACAAGTCCTGCAGGGCCAAAAGCTCAGTATCACTGGTTGGGACAAAGCCTTCTGTGACAAGCAGGGGTGCCCACACCACCTGCTTTGGTAGAATTCAAGTTTTTATTTAAAATTAACTTCCACCATAGAACTGCAAAGAAAGCCATTCCTAACATGACCTCAAAAAGTACCACATTCCCTAGAGACACTAAATACAGAACTCTGTTATTTAGTTTACTGTTTAGAACAATAAGTGGTCAAATGACAGTTCTGGCTCAGTGCAGCTTGGGAAGGTTTCAAGCATGCTACCCCAAGCCCTAAGATTTCATTTGTACAGATGGTCCAACAAGTCCTGCAGGGCCAAAAGCTCAGTATCACTGGTTGGGACAAAGCCTTCTGTGACAAGCAGGGGTGCCCACACCACCTGCTTTGGTAGAATTCAAGTTTTTATTTAAAATTAACTTCCACCATAGAACTGCAAAGAAAGCCATTCCTAACATGACCTCAAATAAGTACCACATTCCCTAGAGACACTAGATACAGAACTCTGTTCTTTAGTTTACTGTTTACAACAATAAGTGGTCAAATGACAGTTCTGGCTCAGTGCAGCTTGGGAAGGTTTCAAGCAGCTACAGGTGATAGATTGATATTAGTCCATCACAAAAGCCAGACTGGGGAAATGCCACTTTCTTTTTGTGGGTAATTTTGAGAGGAAAAAGTGGTATTACCTGTTCTACAAATTCAGTAAAACAAGGGACAGCAAATCTATTAATGATCAACCAGAAAAGTCACAAACAAGGGATGAAAACAGTGATCTAGAGCACTGTCAGAGGAAAAAAATGTCCTGTAGGACTGCAGAGCCCCTGAGAAGTGGCTGACACACCTCTCCAGAAGGAACTGCACTAAACAGGGCAGGAGAACCGTGCAACCACAGGGGAGGGAGCAGGCAAAGCTGAACTTCTGGACAGCACCTGAGCAGCCAGAGAAGAGTGACAAGGTGTTGAAAGCCTCCCTCCCAGCCCTGTGGCTACTTTGCTGCAAGCCCTAGGCACGGCATTTCAGCTTCCTCCTTGGAATACATCTGCCTCAGGGAGAGGAGAGCCCATGTGCAAGATACATTTAGGAAAAGCTGTCTGTGAGTACTACAGAAATAATAATTGCAGGACAAAGCAGGGTACAGAAACTCTCTCTACACACCAGAACATCTGAAATGAATCCAGCAGTTAAACAGCTACTCATGAAAGATCCTATTCCTTCTACTCCATATCAAGGGGGGAAAATATGTTTATCTCTTTCCTCTTGTCTTGATACCATTTGTCCTCAAAGGTCCTTCCTGCTTTCTGCCTCTTGGTAGAAAAACTTGTAGGAAGTATCAGACCCTCCATAGTAGGATTATGAAACTGAGATGGTCTCTTTACAGGAACTGGGGTCTCATGACATTTGCAAACATGTGTTGTACTGCTGGGTACTCATTTTGCTCAATCCAGAAAATGCCTAATTCTTTCTCACAAGAAATGAACCTTTTGCTCACTTTGATTTGTAGCTCAGGATATGTAGGAAGGAAACCAAAAAGAAATTAGCACAGCTGGCTCCCTAGTTCTGCTTACCAGTCACATGGGGTAGGAAATCCCCCTTTACACTGTGCACTTACAAGACAGCTAAAAAAAATCATGAGCATCCCTTGAAACCTATTACAGTTCTTCAGTGTCAGCAATTAACAGGGTGGAGCAGGAAATCTCCTGCCTTCCAGGAACAATGACAGGGGCACTTGGGGAAGAAAAGAACATTGACAGCAAATTACCACTTCTGGTAGCAGTGGAGACCCCATTCAAGTCCCAAAGAGGAACAATAAAACTAGGGGCCACCTTCGCAGGAGCTGGAATTTGCTGTCTTATCTAACCTTATTCCCAGTATCTGCAATGAAAAGTACCCACCAAAACCTTGAAAAAGTAGACGAGGAAAGTCACATTTCTCCTCAACAGATTCCCGGTGCATGCAATTCAATTCTAATTCCTGATGGTTCTACATCAGGAGGTGTATCTTGTCATCAAATGTCATCTTTATTTTGTGAACTCCATCCTGTAATGATTTTAGAACACAATTCTTGTTGCAACATTCTCCATGCTGGATTAGAGCAGTTTTGCTGCTGGGGTGGATGACAACAGCAGAGTAAAAGTGAAATTCTCAGGGCTCATCTCTGCCACTTGATTCTCCAATGCACAGAAGGATTCTTCCCACAAGGACTGGGATTTCCATCACTCTACAGGGAGAAAACACACACCAACTCTCCCAACGTGGGCAGTAGAACAGAGGGATTTACACAGAGGGTGTTATTCTGGCATAGGACTGGAAACAATCCTTGCATGAAGAGAGCTGGCCAGAAATAAAGTTACCTCCCTTGTGACCAAGAGCAAACCAAGATTCCCAGGACCAGCACACTGGAGATTTCTAGCTTCTAGTTTTTTTAAGAGTTAGATTCCAAGACACTTTGTCAGCTGCAAAATATCCTCTGTGAAGAAGCTTTTATTTGCCAAGTCATTTCTAGCACACAGCCTCACCAAGTGCTGAGCACAGAACACCTGAACTGAGTGACTGAGTTTATGGACAGCAACAGCTACAGAAAAGGAAGTTCAGTGTCAGAGCAGTGTTGGTTAAGAAGGTTCCAAGCTCCTTCATGTATACTTCAAATTGCAGAGCCTTCCAGTTGGAGCTCAGCAACAGGCAAATTTGCAGTGTAGTTACCTCTGCCACAGGAAGTCATCAATACTGAGATGCTGAAAGAGTGCTTAAGTTTAGGAACAAGTCGACTTCACTAAACTTGCATAAGCTGATACATCAAAACTTCTGTCCAAACTCCTGTCAGCTTACCAGACATATCTACCACACAGTCCCTGAGCAGTCCCCCAACCCCTGCCCCCTCAGAAATGACTTTACATTGGAGGGTTTCAGCTACACCAAGCAACACTACTTTGAGCTTCTCTATATCCAATAAGGAACTACCTCAGGTCAGTTTAGAGCAGCAACATCTGAGATTGTTCAGTAAAAGATCTGTATGCTAAAGCCCCACTGTCATACAACAGGATCAATACAGCCAAGATAAATATGGTCCCGAAATATTTACACATTCCATGTTTGGCTACGACATACCTCTTCAAGGCCTGCAAATTCACCTGGATCCAGATTTGCATCCCACCAAAGACCATCCCTGCCTCAGCCTGCTGGGCACAATCCTACAGCCTCCCCACTAATGCTGAACAGGCTGTCTCAGGTGAAGGACCAGCAGTTCCACACTTATGTAACCAGCCTGCCAAACCTACCCAGCCTTCAGCCAACCATAAGCATCACCAAGTACTAATCCTATGTTTTACCAAACACACCTGGAGGAGAAAGATAATCACTCATGTTGGAATAACTGGGACACTCTGAACAAACCACACCTATGCAGTAAAACCAGTCAGAGACAAGATTAAATGCATCTAGCTGACAGACATCATAAAAGCAGCAAGTACCTTCTTAAAGGCTGACAGAGCCGAGAGCATGAATGCTTCCCACAAACCACAATCAACAGAGGTATCAACAGAGTAACTATTCTTTGATATTGACAATTGTTCTATCCAAAACCATTTCGTTTCAAAAACTGAAGATTGACCTATTGTCAACAGACACCTAGCCTGCCTGCAGCTGCTGGCCAGCACATCCAACTCAGGACAGAGGGAACAGAAACAACATCACTGCTCTGTTTCACTGGCCAGCTTGTCAGCTTGACTCATCATTGCTGAATACTTTATCCAGCCTCCTCTTTCCTCCTCTTTTCTGTTGGCCATTCTGTTACTAACAAAGCTCTTGGCCAGAAAGCACTTATATGCACAACCTCAATACATGAATGCACAAACCCCCCTGAATTGAAGAGAATCCTCACATTTAGTCTCACAAAACAGTTCTGGGTAAGGAGATGTGGATGAAATTTATGTCGAATCCTGCAACCCTTTAGTTTCATCTACACCTATTTTTAATTACCAGTTGATTTCATTTCAAGATTGTGGACTGCAAAGCACAAGTCAAACCCTGCTGACAATTTCTTACCTCTCAGAAGCCCAGAGAAAGAGGGGGTTGTTCAGGTGCTGACAGCATCAGAGGTGGATAGAGGAAATAAAAATCTTGATGCTTTCAAGACTACAGCCCTGATTATTAACGAGCTACAACACGTTACCCTAAGTTTTCAACAGAGCAGAGCTTCCCTCCTCAGCAAGCTGCCACCTGAAATCCTAAAGAAGGGCATGACACAGAGCTCTTTGTTCAAAAATCAGGAAATGCAAGAGCTTACTGGGCAGAAATGGGACTGGGAATTTATGTTTCTCCTCCCCCATGTTTATTAGGCCCAGAATTAAGAGGGGGAAAAAAAAGGGAGGCTGAAAACAGAGCTGCTTTCAGGCACCCCTCAGAAAACCTTCCAAGCTCTAGAACAGCCACATGATCAGCTGGAAAAGCCCAAGACATGAGATGGAACAACTGAATTGTTTTGTCCTTTGCTACTTAGAACAAATGAGCAGTGAAGCCAGATGCCAAAGCCCTAAATAACCATTATTCCTGTACCAGGCCCCTTCTGCTTTAAAAAGATAAACCCCTCCTGTGGGACAAAACCTCTTCTGAGGCAGAGAAATGAACACGACCACTAGATGATCTTTAAGGTCCTTTCCAACCCAAACCACTCTATGATTCCATGTCAAGGTAAAAGGGTCATTTATCATTTTGACAGGGAGACTGGTGGAACAGCAGCTGCCAGAACTCACACTCCTCTCTCAGTGGAACAGGCAGTGAAGCCAACACTGAAAGCAGGGTAAGGTGGTTTTCACAACGTTCAGCCCCACCCAAGCCACATGACACAGCAGGATGAAGTGAACCCACTGCATCACACTGTCTTTACTGAAGATCATTAAAAAGAATAATCCACCTACAATAGGGGTAGTATTTTATCATCTTTACACCTACCCATTAATTGACTCTGTCAGATGCAAGACTCTCAGTCTTAAGCCTAGTGCAACAGCTCCTGTTTACCATCACACAACCATGCGTGTACTGACAAGTACAGGGAAGAACAGCTGCACCACCAGAACAATCCAAGCTAGACTTAGCTTGGCCTGCCACATTTTCTGCCTCCTGACAGTGTTTTGCCCCAGCTGCACAGAACTGAGCACAGTCTGTAGTTACCAGCATCACTGACACTTGGGGCAGGGACTGTGTGCTGGTGTTGTAAATTTAAGTCCATCAGATGACTTGCAACACTGATGTAAACCAGAGCAAAATGGCTGTGTCAGCTTATAAATTATGAATGTATACGGCCACAGGCTTCCTATCCAAAATTAATTTTCTCTTTGCCATAACAAAAATGCTTCAAGGACAGGGCATGGAACCTTTCTTGGAAAAGTACGGCTGGCTTTCTCCAAGAGGACACAAGGAAGCAGTTCCTTGTACTGCCTGATACAAGTGATTGCATTAATTCTGCTAGTAACTACTCAAGAAAACCAGACCAGCTCCAAGCACCTCACCAGATGCAGGAGGGGGCTCTTCAGCACTTAACTCCAGCACTGAGAGCTGGAGGAACCAGCTGCTCTCAGTTCTCTGTGGGAAGGGTAGACAGAGAAGAGCTTTGGCATAACTAACAACAGATAAGAAGTCAACACTAAATTCCAAGTGAGTACAAGCAAGGATAACTTAATTCATTGATGACAGACTGTCACAACATGCACAAATCCATGGGTGTTACCACAGCTGTTTTCAAGCTCCAAGAGATGAGCCAGTCAGGATGAAAAACGACACAGACAAGAGCAATGCAAGCCAATTAAGACATCAACTATCAACACACTAATATTTTGCCCCAGTCTGAACAAAGAGGAGCAAGTAACCTCTTCATATATTCCCTATAGGGCTTGCCCTCAGAACCACCAGCTCCAAAACTGTGACTTCCAGTCAGAACATTTTCTGACTGTATTAGTTAATAAAAAACAGACCACCTCACCCTGCATCACCAAGGCCTGATAAACCACAACTCTACAGGAGAGCCTGTTAACTAGTCCAGCACACACCTTCACTGTGCACAGAAGTAGGCTGAAGCTACAGGAGCAGCAGTCACTAGAGGAGCTTTGTGAACTGCCAAGGTAATTTTACAGCAGGTGTTAACAATGTTTGGTACACAAGGTGAGGGCAGCACTGTTACTTCAGCCAGGGGGTCAGGACTGAGTATCTTTTAGTTCCAAAAGCAGTTTCACAGCAGTGGGAAGGGTAGCTATAGCCCAGCTACAGGAACTGGATTTCAAGTTGCAATACAAGAGGCATGCACCACATCAACTGTTTAAGAAAAAAGCTGCTTGGAAGCATTCACTATACACTCTCCAAAGCATGCAGACTGCTGAATGCCTGTTCAGTATTAGGGTGCATATCCTAAACTGAGGCTGGGTTTGAAAACACTTGTAAAAATGCATAAAGGGAGACTCACCACACTGCAGCTAAAGACTCTGAATTTTAACCATTACCAAAACAACAGCTGTGCACACCTCTCCTCACTTTAATGAGCCCCACACAGAAATCCTAATAAACCCTTCTCCAGCACCACTCACCAAGTAGTGCCCCTCTATTTTCTGAGACTCCAGTTAAGCTCAGTTAAACACAAACAGGCTTGCTTCTGAAGTACTCTACTGAACAAAAACCTTCTTTAGTATTTGGAAAAAGCACATGAAGGTTTCTAAAAAGCCTGCTCTAATCACACAGCAATATTTTGATACATGTGACCTCCATTGCCTTTTTTTAAATTTAAGTAACACAAGGGGCCTTCAAACCACAGACCATCTCTCTTCACTGCCTGCAGCAGTTACTATAATGTAATCAGCTTCAGAAAGTCATCACTGGAAGGCTTCAGGCATTCACATGTCAAGTCTGGCAACATTAGCTTTTAACACATAGCTTCTGGCATGCTTTAAGGAAATACTTATGCATGTTGTCTTTAACCTACAAGAATTAAGAGTTTTCAAATACCATGACAAAGTTAAAAAAAGAAAAGGGTCAGTGAACTGCCAGAACACCAGAAAAGCCTTAGGGGTTTCTTCTGTTCTGGAATCAAAACACTGCACATCCCTGCTTAGAATACAGCCAAGCTGGACAGAATTTCCCATCGTGAAAATGGGCACAGAACTCTGCAATCCCTTTAATCACTGTCCCAGTGCAGAGCCAAGGAAGCTGGGAGATTCCTACAACTAGTTTCTGCCATTGCCCAACTGACACCCACACAGGTGAGTGCACTGGGAAAAGCTGCCTGGAGACACCTGTACAGGAGGACAAACATCCCCCCATGGGAAATGGAAGGGCACCCACCAAACCAACAGCTGTTCCTGCTTCTCAGCTGCATTCCCTTCAGGCAGCAGTCACCAAAACATTTACTGGGCAGCAGCCTCTGTATTTACTGTTAAGTGCAGTGACAGGTAAGGGTTTATGTGGCCAGGATTTAGTTTTATGGGTGACAATATACTGTTATATTTTACTTTTTACAAGGCCTAGTTCCTTTGTCATCTCCAAGATGGCTAAGGGCTTCCAGGATTTAATTAACACTACCACAAATACCACCACTCTCCCCACGACTGTCTGACCAACCACCTTTCCTCAATATCAATTATCTCATGCACTGTGCTTTGCATCTGTGTTTAAGCAGGATCCTGGGGGTTTTTTTTGGTTTTTTTTTGGCTTGACCACTCAGAGCTGGCCCAGAGCCCTCACCTTGCAGCAGGGTTCTGCTATCTGCACGTCAGTTCTCTGTGCTGGAAGTGGCTGATATTCCTACTTGCTGGATCCCGAGCGAGTGCTGAAGCGCTGCACTCCCCACAAGCCATGGGAACAGTTTCCCTGAAATGAAACACAGATTATCAGCAAAAAAGAGGGGATCAAGTTCACAGAGGGACACGTAAAAGCTCAGCAAACAGTATCTAAGAAGCCACAAACAACTCAAAGGGTCACTGGGAACCAGAAAGAGACATGCTGATACCTAGAAATATGGCAAGAACACTAGGAGCCAAGCTAAAATCAACAGGAAGGAATTTCCAGCATATGTTATTCTAACAGAAGTTACCAAAAAGCAGGTGTTGCAGACCCAGCCAAAAGAGATGCTGAGTACTAATATCACAACTAAGTCTACACAAGTAGAGGCAGAATAACAAATCATTGTCTGATAGGGAAAGAGACGATTTTATTGCCTAATTTCTAGACTGAAAAGCCTGATCCACTTTAAATATTACTATCAGGGTATGAAAAAACATAGACCACACTCCTAACCACTCAAAATTCAAGCAACTGCCCCCTTCGCTCGTGACATGGATCTTCTTGAAGTGGAAGCAGTTTAGCACCATCAACAAAAATTACAACAGGGCTGGGGTTTTTTTTTCCTTCCTTCCTGCATGTCAGCACAGGGCATGGGAAAACAGGCAAGGGAGCAGATCCTTAGAGGGATCTCTCAAGCATCCAGCCTCCCAGCCATACAGGAGGGGACTGCGGAACATCGGAGAGCACTGTGTCAACAACAGGGAGCAATGAGAAAGAACAGACATCAGCGGGAGAAAGTCCAACCCCATAATGTTGAAGATGTGCGAGGGCTCATTCCTCTTGATCCCAAAGTTACCATTCGGGCTGACAGATTTTGAAGCAACACCCTGGAAACCAAAGCTATTGCATTTTAGCCGTACCACAGTGCCGCAAAGGCAGCACTAGGAGGAGAGGACTCCCTGACCTTCCCCCCGCTCCAGGCAATGGGTACCAGCCTCAACCCAGCACACCTCGGCACCAGCCCCCGCCGCTCCACCGCGGCTTTCCGGACACAGAAAAAAACATCCTCTGGGAGATATAAATAAATCCCACCGCGCTTCCGTCCGCAGGTAACGAACGGCGGCGTCCTCCCCTCGCTGGGGGACACTGCGCACAGCCCGGCCCTGCCTCGCCCCACAGACGTGGCGAGGACCCCCCTGCCCCGGGCGCTGTGAGAGCAGGGCCGGCGGGGCACGGAAGAACCGAATCGCTGCCCAATTACTCAGCAAATCCTTCCTGCTCGCCGCTTCCGAGCCCCCTCAGCCGCGCCCCCCCGACCCGGCGTCCCACCCCATCCCCTCCGGGACATCACCTCACGGGGGGACACGTCCCCACAGCCCGCCCGTGGCGTGAGGGGAGCGCGGCACACCCACCTGCCCGCCGCGGCCGTGCCGGGAACCCACCGCACCCACCTGCCCGCGACGCCCACCGTCCCTTACGCCGCTCCGGCGCCTTTTGTCCGCCCTGCCCGCAGCGGCCCCACCCCGGATCTGACCTCACCCGGCCGGCGCTGCCACCATCGCCCAGTCCCGTCGCCATCTTGGGGGCGGGCACGGCGACACAGGCGCGGCGCCATCTTTGTGCAGGGCGCGCGGCACGGGGGAGTGGGCGGGAAGAAGGGGGGGGGAGAGTGAGGGCGGCGGCGCCATCTTGGTGGCGGGCAACGCTCAAAATGGCGCCAGTCTTAAAGGAGCCGAGCGCATCCAGCTGCTGAGATGTTTGTGGTGCCTGAAAAAAGTGATTCACTGGTATTTTTTTTTACTTGTCTGACGCAATGGAGGACACTGTGAAGAATAATTTCTTTTTAAATGCATAAAGCATGGTTCAAAGGCATTAGTTGTAATTTTATTAGTGTACAGCAGGCATTTCTGAGTGGTTAAGTGCAGCCAATTCTAACTTGTCTACACCAGTGAAGTCTGTAACAATAAAATAAGTACATCTCTGCCTTTCTAGGAATATTATAAGTCTTACCAACTTCCTGTAGCCACAGGCACAGGGTCTATACCAGAGGAGCTGGGATCCCAGTGTCAGATGTAGACTCTTACCAACGCAGTGCAACAGGTTTTTGTTTGTTTGTTTGATTTTTGTTTTTTGGTTTTTTTTTAACTTAATGCTAATTAAGAATTATGTCCCAATCATTTATTAAATTAAAATTACCTGAAAAAAAAAAAAAAGAAGGTTGTATCTTTCCTTGAGTTTCACAGTAAAAAGTACAAGGTGAGATGTGTCCTTTACATCACTGATCTCATCCAGAAATTTTCTGCTGAATTTCAAGAGGGCATGAAGGTGAACTTTCATTATATTGATGGACCAATATAACGTCTAAATCCTGACAGAGAAGGTGGGTGCTTGTGTCCATCCCTCTTTCTCCCTGCTCTTCCCTGTCCATATCTCTTTTTCCTTGCAGGACCTTTTGCCCTCATATCCACCCTGAGCCAGTTCAACTCATGGACCTGACAGAAAATTGGCCACTTTTCTGCAAAATTGGCTTTTTGCTAATGTGTCTAAATAAAAAAGCTCAGTTCAGGGGCTATTGGAGCGTACCAATATTACAGACAGGACTGCCTTGGTCTGTCTGGCCTCGGCTGCTGACCGAATAGCAGCACCCGTGGTGTTTTCTCCCCAGAGATGCTGTTCAGTGCCTGCGGTCACAGCTGGGCACGTGGGGACAGTCCGGACATGTCCTGAGCTCCAGTGCTTGCAGCTGGAGCTTGCTGTGAGGGGGTCACTCCTCAGAGCTGCAGGAACCTTTCAGGCGAGGTGAAGAAAGGAGCGGGTCCTGATGGACAGCTTTTAATCCAGAGTTTTATTTTGGTGGCACAGCCTCTGAATATTGCAACAATTCCAACAGGACCCCGACCTTGTGGTGTGCTTGCTCGTTTACCTGGGGAGTGGGGCAGGGGAGGGGACCCAGGGAGCACCAGCCAGGCACAGGGGAGGGGGTCTCAGGTGAGAGGGACACCTGGGTGGGCCAATGGCCCCCCAGGGCGTGGAGAGCATCCTTTGAACCTGCCAATTGCTCGACGCTCTCCTTGGAATTTCTGGGTTGATAGACAGTGCCCAGCAGGGGTCAAGGGTGGGGAAAAGGAGAGGTGATTGACACCCACCTGGGGAAGGAAATTTCAGGGAGAAACCAAGGGAATTGAGGCAAGCCATGACATCAGACCGCAACAAGGGGCAAACAACAACGAGGGAAGGCACAAGGCTGGTAGACGACAGGGCAAAGAAAGCACAGGAAAAAATGCCGCTGAGCCATTTGAAGGCTCCAGATGTGACAAAAACATTCTTACAGAGCCAAATTTTCCTTTCATCTGTTTGTTTCAGTGTTTGATTTAAACAGAAATGTAGAAAACAGGGCTTTCCTCTCCCTGCAGACATTCCCTCCTGCTTAATCACCTCAGGGATGCCTGTGGGGTGTCGCGTTGGGACTGGAAACCTTTGGCACAGCGGATGCAGCCGCTTCCTTTCCTCATGGCTCATTTTTTCCTGCTGTGAAAGGGCGACAGAAATTATTCAGGAGACTTACACGATCTGACTCATGGGTGCAGGTCACGCCTCGTCACTAAAGGAAGAGGGAAAAGGGCAGTTTTCCCTCAAGAGCTCACTGCAGCAGCTGTCAGCTCCCAAGCACTGAGGCAGAGCTCAGCTCCTGCCATCCCTGCCCGGCCACCACAGCCCAGGGCAATGCCGCAGGATCTGCTCTGGGCTGTGTCGTGGCAGAAGGACCTTACACTTACCCCTTCCCTTCTCGAATAATATGAAGCCTGCAGGATGAAATTTCTGAGAGGATTTTGACTTAAAAATTCATTTTTCAAAATGACCGAAGGCTTCGCTCAAAGGGAAATTCCACGCCATTGCCACGCTAAAGTATTCACAGCCAAACCACAAAAATACGCCGCTACGCCAGCATGAGCTTCCAGCTGAACAACAAGCTGGGGTATTTCCCAGGCAGCCGAAGCCCTCAGAGCGGCTCCCGGAACGCCTTTCCCCCTCAGAGCCGCAGCTGCACTCCCGCCTTCCTGCGGCCTCCGCGGCTCCTCCCAGGAAGTCCCGGCCGCCGATGAAGCCTTTCGGGCAGAGGAGAAGGCAGAATGTGTGCCAGGGCAGCCTGGGCGGCTGTGCCAGGCTTTGCAGCGTAAAGCAGCGCGGCCCAGCTCGATGTAAGTTGTTTTTGTCCCCGCTGTCCCTCCGGCAGCTGCTTTGTCCCCAGTGTCAGCTCCTGCTGCTCTCGCCCTGCGTTCGCCCGGGCCCTGCGCTCCTCCCGGGGCACATCCAGGGAGAGCTGTGTCCCCAAAGCCTCCCGGATGCACCCCCGAGCTGCCAAGCCTCCGGCAGCTGCTTTGTCCCCAGTGTCAGCTCCTGCTGCTCTCGCCCTGCGCTCGCCCGGGCCCTGCGCTCCTCCCGGGGCACATCAGGGGCAGCCGTGTCCCCAAAGCCTCCCGGGTGCACCCCCGAGCTGCCAAGGGGGGATCGAGGAGCACCGGGATGGAGGGGACGGCTGCGCCCCGCGGGCTGCAGGTGGTGAGTGACCGGTCCCCGAGGTGACCTTCCCGGTGGTCACCTCCAAAAAACTCTCGGCTCAGCCCAGTGCTCCCTTCCAGAGTCAGCGGTGTCCCGGTCGCCTGCTCCCGGGCGCTGCCCCCAGCCCTGTGCACAGCTCTTACACGGCTCTGTGGTTTGCTGCTGTCTGATAAAGCCTTTTTTACTGCCACACTTTGATTCTGTCCCCTGCAGGGTAGGTGTCCTCATTCCAGGACTCCTTTGCTTTGCACCCCAGAGCAGTGTCCCCCCACATCTCAGTGTCATGCAAGCACAAGGTGGAGGTTTTACAGTCATAAGCAATATGATGCTCTGGCTTCCAATTTTTCCATAAATTGTGGTATTTTTTCCCCATGTGAAAAAAATGTGAAACCTCACTGGTCTCGGCTGGCAGCTGCTTTACACTTTTTTTAGAAATAACAAAAAAAGCAGGCAATGGGGACTCGCATCCTGCATGTAAGGATGGAAAGTGCCCTTAGGAGCATTGAGAGCTTACCTGTGGGCTGGTCAGCTTCAAATCTGTTTTAATTAATGTTTTGGCAGATGGGTAAATTAATTCATGGCTCGTCATAATAAAGGTACATACAACCTCTAGCCTCATTGCTTTTAACTCAAGTACCTAACAAAACATTCACTTATTTCAGCTTAAATACTGCATGTTTAAGTAATGCTGTAGAATAGCTGAAGGGACCTGAGGTGAAGGAACAGGCTGCATTTTACACACAGAAATCAATTTGTTTGGGACCTTGGAGGAAAGATAATCACCAAAGGTGACATCCTGTTAATTGGAATTAAACTTGTGACTAAACCAGAGCTGCAGCAGCTGAGAAGCCAGAGATTCTCTGTATGGACCAGGAAGGTGAAAGTTTGTGGTATTCACATGCCCTCTGAACACAGAGAAGCAGAGAAAAGAATGATCAAAACAGTTCCTATCTCATTTGCTGCTCCTGTGTTTTTGCACGTGTGGAATGTGTTGGAAGATTGTTTATCTGAAGGAATTTGGTAATTGGATTCTGGTGGAGATTGTTTATGTTAATTAGCCTATCAGGTCCAAGCTGTGGGCACTGTCGGCTGCGGAGAGTCACAAGTTTTTGAGTAGTATGATATAGTACAGTATCTCTCTTAAATATAGTATAATGTAACATAGTATAGTTTTAATAAAGTGAGTGTTCAGCATTCTGAAGCCTTGGAGTCAGATACCAATGGTTCCCTGGTCGGGGGTTGCCTAATTTTTCTAGAAGAGTGTTGCAAGGGAGGAAGGGCAGAGGCAAGAGTTACCTGGGCTCAGTTACACTCGATGGGGAACTGATGCTGCGTACCAAATTCCCAGAGGATGCCCTCTCACTGGTGTCCATGCCACTCCCATCAGTTCAGAGGAAAGTGAGGGAAGCCTGGACTGGGAGAGAGGAGGCAGAAGTCATGGTTGCCCTTGTGATCCTGATCCTGTGTGTCATGGGCACAAAGTACAGCCCCAGCACTGTTGGACATTGCAGTGATTACACACAAAGCAGCTCATTTTGCCTTTTCCTCTCTGTGGCAGAACAACCTCTGCTTTGGGTCTGGGCCTGCCTGATCCCAGGTACAGGTGTGCTTTAACCCAGTGGAGCAATTGTCTCAGCCCTGTCCTTTGGGAGTTGCAGGTCTGTGCCTGCAGGAGTGAGACAGCAGGAGCCGTGGCATGCTCAGGAGAGCGGGACCGTCCCTCCGCCACTTCTTGCTGGAGAAGAACAGCAGTGCTGGACATAGCTCGTGCTCCAGAGAGGTATGGAATGCCCAGTGGGACTGTTCCTGGCTGGCAGCCTGCCCAGGGCACCTCAGCTTGGGAGCAAGAGCAGGCAGAGCACATCAGGAAAAGCCACTCTGATGCAACTTCCTCTGTACCTGCTTATTTCCAGGGAGCGTTTAAAGGATTCTCATAAGTAAGGGGATATCCTTCACAGAGGAAAAGGCTCCTTGTTTGTGGGGTTGCTCCTTCTGATGGTCTCTGCTAGAGCTTCTTGGTTTGCAAAGTACTTGGAAAATATCAGCATCCCACTCAGACATCCCAACATGCAGAGCAAGGCAGTAACACACAGCAGAGTGGTGAAGATCATGGATGCCAAGTCTTCTGCACTGGCACTCAGCTCTCCTGTGTGGCTGCCAGGCAAACTGCACCTTCTGTCTGGGGACAGAACAGGCTGAAACAGATTTGAGGGCTGCATGGTCCTGAGCCTGTGTTGCTCTCTATGGCAGCATCACACACAGGCTGGGATAGGATAGGATGGAGGGGATATCAGAAAAAAAAAAAAAAATTGTTATTTCTGTTCCTGAAGCAGACAAGGCCTTTCCGGGATAGGATAGGATGGAGGGGATATCAGAAAAAAAAAAAGCAGACAAGGCCCTTCCTCAGAACTGGTAATTTCAAGGCTTAAGGCACCTTCTTCCCACTGATCCCCATCACACTTGGTCATCTGTTAATTCTTTGACCTGTGGCCTGCAGCAGCCCCACCTTGCAAGAACAGCAGTGGAGCTGTTAATATTTTACTTCCAGCTATCTTTACTTCCCAAGCCATAAGTCCTTCTGCTCCCACCCAAATTAGCTCAGGCACCAGGTCTTGTGACTGTAACAGCCATGAGCTTGTGCAGAAAGAGCAGAGAGGGGAGGAGAGAGGCTGCCCTGGAGCCAGTGACTTCTGCTTGCATTGGCTGCCTGAGGATGGAGCAGAGTCCACCTGGTGCCCTCTGAAACACAGGGCTCCTGGCTGGGTGTTTGCAAAGATCTCTGGTAAGGGCTGAAGCTGTATAAAAATCCAAGGACCTCAGCACAAAGTATCCTTGGGGCACTACCCAAATTCTGCTGCGGTGCTGTGGGAACAGCAGAGGGGAGCAGGTAAGTCCTGCTGCAGCTGGGTGTTGGGGGGAGGCTCACCTGGTATCCCCCCAACATCCTGGCACAGCAGAGCACAGACCCCTGCACATCCCAGCTCTGCACCTCACCTCAGCTGCTTTCACTTGCCTTCCTTGTTCCAGTTCAGATGTATTTTGTTTGCTGTGGTGACAATGGCTTTCTTGACTCATTGCTTCAGGGCTGCTCTCCTCGTGCCCCCACGCTGGCTCTTTCTGGTGCACTGAGCATCCTTTGTCTCCAGTTTCCAGCCCCTTCCCTGTCTGGGTGCCTTTTCCCTGCAGTGCTGAGTTACTAAATTCTGTCTCTACTGCTTCTCATCATCCTCATCCTCGTGATGAATTCCCCATAAAGCACATCTATCTTTCTCCCACTGTGCTTATCCAGCTGGAAGGAGGGTTTTGCTTTCAGTGTTCCTGCTTTCTTTCCACTCCCCTGAGCCATGATGTACATGGAAATTACAAACCAGTCACAGCATGATACCTCAGTGTCTGTACATCACACTGACCTCTGTGCTGTGCTCTCTTGCCTGTACCTAGTTACTGCTTGGGTTTGACATGAACTTTAAATAGAAAACTCTGCACATTTTATAGGATCTAGAGCAAGCCCCCTCACTAAGCACTTCATCAGGACAGAAGAGTATCTACTGCTACTTCACAGAGCAGTATGGAATAAAATAGTTTGTTCTTCTAGGAAAAGGGGGTATTTCATGGCTTGTAGAGTAAGGAGTCTTTCCTATGAAGATGGAGAGATTATGGAAGTCTGAGGTCTGGGGTCCTTGGCCTGGCTACAGCCTGGCTGAGCTTGACCCCTTGACTAATCCAAACAGGTAATGAGGTTTAAGGCATTGCCACCTCCCCAGTGAGTGTACAAAAGCTTCTCTTGTTCATCTATTTTCCCAATTCTTGTTGAAACTTGTAAGTGAAAGCAGAAACCACTGCAACAGTATTACTGCTCCAAGATCAGTCAGGAACAGCCCATGAAGCAATGCTAAAGGGCACACCTTCTGTTGGGAAAAACTTCCCTGGGGAGGCCACAGCCCCTTTATGGCCTCATTTAAAAGCTTCAAACTCACTTTCTTTTTCACTCTCTGCAGGCAAAAATGTCAAGGCCAGTGCAAGCTCGGAGGCTGGAGGGAATAGATAAAAATATCTGGTGAGTTAAAAGAATATCTGGTTTACCCAGGTGGTAGATGTGGTTTTAGGCATCCTAAAACCAGATTGAAACCACAGTAGCCACACAGCACAGAGCAGAAGTTTCCCTCAACTGCTTTGCATGTGTTCAGGAAGCACATCAGAGCACGTTTGTCCCAGAAGACTTTACCATGAGTCAGTGCTGTACCTGCAGCTCTCACTTCAGGAGGTATCAGGTTTTCTGCACCACTGGGCAGGCAGAAGCACCGCCCTCCCTCTGACCCATCCACCCAAATGATCCCAGTGGCACCCAAATCTGAGCCAAGTGTTTGCTGCACACTGACTGCAGCCTGGCACCTGCTCCAAGCTCACCCTGGGGCAGAGAGGCAGGGCAAGGGCTGCTGCAAATGCCATTCCCATCCTGCCAGGCACAACGTGGCATTGGGAAAGTTGTGTGCTGGAAGAAGAGATTTAAATGGTCTTTCCCCAAGGCCCTGCTGTGCCTGGGCTCAAGCTACAAACTGCCAGTGAGATGGCTCTTGTTTGGTTTGAGATGAGCAGCGAGTTCAACCCACCCTGCCCTCTGCAGAGCTAAATTTTGCAGAGCTGGTATGAGCTTGAAAACCTCCCAAGTCCCCTCCTGCTCAGTCCAGTGTGATCTGAAACACCACAGGCTTTCAGCTGTGACCACACACTGACCACAGGAGCTGTTTCCTGGGAGAATAAATTAAAACAGTTCCCCCAGTGCAATAGTTCATGATCCTTGGTTTAATTGCAACAGGTCTGAAATGACCTGTGCTGGGTCCTGCCTGCCTGTGAGCAGCAGGATGGCTCTGCAGGAGGGACACCAACCCCACTCCCTTCCAAAGGGATGCTGCGAGCAGACCCAGTGCCAGCACACTGCTCACACCCTCTGAAAGTGCTTTGTCTCCCTTCTCTCTAGGGTGGAGTTTGTAAAACTGGCTGCTACCTACTCCAAGGTGAACCTGGGCCAGGGCTTCCCTGACTTCCCTGCACCAGATTTCCTGACAGAGGCACTCACGAGAGCCCTCGGCGGGGGGAACCACATGCTGCACCAGTACACCCGTGCCTTTGTGAGTGACAGATCTCCCTCCCCAGCACCACCCCCTCAGTCCCCACCAGCCCTGGCTGCTTCAGAGCTCACCAGGCAGCAGTAAACAGCAAAAAACATGAGGCAAAACACACGTCCAGCCTCGACCCATGCCCACTGTTCCCAGTAGCTCCCTGCTTTACTGGGATGTTTGAAGCAGCCAGGCTGGAAGATCTCACAGGGCTCTTGGCTTCCCAGTCCCCTTCCAAGGGTTCATCCTTGGTTTAGGAATCTTCTGCAACCCAATTCCCACCCTCCTCTCACCCCACAGGGCCACCCACCTCTGGTGAAGGTCCTAGCCCAGTTTTTCGAGAAGCTGCTTGGACGAGACCTGGATCCTATGACCAATGTGATGGTGACTGTGGGGGCATACCAGGCCCTGTTCTGCTGCTTCCAGGCTTTAGTGGATGAAGGTGATGAGGTAACCCAAGATAAGGGCTTGTTACACTGGCAGCCTTCCCCCAGGGCACCTCCAGGCTGGTTTTCATTGTCCTTTTCCAAAGCAAAACCAGTTTTATATCCCCATTCTGCAGTACTTGAGCTTCCAAAGGAAGAAATTATTTGCTGCAGGGCATTGCCTCATTTCTGCATAAAGCAAAATAACCCTTTTTGTCCTGAGTGGTGATGTCCTCCCTGACACTCCCCACAGGCAATGCAGGTTCTCCATTACAGTAATTAGGGATTAAAATGTCCTGTCCCTCCCATTGCTCTCTGCACTCCTCAGGGAAGGTCTAAGCAGGACCAGGAGGACGCTGACATGTCCCTTTCTTCCAGGTGATAATCATTGAACCCTTCTTTGACTGCTATGAGCCAATGGTGAAAATGGCTGGTGGGACACCTGTGTTTGTGCCTCTGAGACCGGTGAGTGAGTGGAGAAGGGAAGAGTCACAGCAGTCAGCAAAGAGGTGAGTGGTAAACAAGGTGCAGAGGTAGCAAAGCAAACCAAGATTTCCATGTTTTCTCTAGAATCCTCCAAAAGATGGAAAATTGATGTCTAGTGCAGACTGGCAGCTGGACCCTGCTGAACTGGCTTCTAAATTCAGTGAACGGACAAAAGCCATCGTCCTGAACTCACCCAACAACCCTCTGGGCAAGGTAACACTGCTGCAATCCATTGCTGCTGGGCCCTGGGAGCTGCTGGGGTGCTGCAGCCACATTTGCAGTGCAGCAGACTCAGGCTGCCTTGCACACAAGGGAAGTGGGTGCTGTGGGAGTGCCACATGCTGTGCTCAGTCTCCTGGTGTTTTTGAGCCTTGTCTTTTGTGCCAGCCGTGCTTTTGCCCTGTTAGACCACTGCAGCAGCTCCTGCCCCTCCCTGGCACGGGAGATGGTGCCAGGAGGATACTCACAACCTGCAGGGAGAGGCAGGGGCTCAGAAATGCTCCTGCTGTACCTCTGCTGCACTCCGTGCCTGCCGCAGGTGTTCAGCCGCGGGGAGCTGGGGCTGATTGCAGAGCTGTGTGTGAAGCACGACGTGCTGTGCATCAGCGACGAGGTGTACGAGTGGCTGGTCTACGACGGGAAGCAGCACATCCGCATCGGTACGGGGCAGGGCTGGGCTGGGCGGAGCAGCACATCCGCATCGGTACGGGGCTGGGCTGGGCGGGGCTGCTCGGGGCAGGGAATGGGCATTGCTCCGGCGGCCCCTGGAAATCCCGGGAGCTGCCTGCATGCACAGCTGTACTAGGCATGAATCCCCCTCTGGAGGTATTTTGGTGCACTTCAATCTCAGCCTCCAAACCAGGTCCTGAACAGAAGCTCTGACTTCAGAGCCAGAGGGGAGATCTAGAACAAAAAGCCACTTGACTCCAGTGAAACTGATTTTTTTCCCATGCTTTGTAAAGCCACAGTTTTCTGAGTGTCTCTAGCTCCAGGAAATTCATTTCAACACGGTTTCAGCCTGTTCTTCCAGCTGGAGTAACATGCCATCACCTTGATGCAGGGTGATGGTGCTTGGCATCTCTGAGAGCCCCCGGGGCTGAGTATATGCCTGTGAAAATTTCACATGCCTGTGAAAATGCTTAATTAAAAGGAGATGCTCTTGAGAAACCTGGCTGCCTGCTTGGGATGTGCTTTGAGGCTCATCCAGGTGAAAGATGTGCTGTGAACACGAAAGGTCACTATGGATTGTGGTGGACAGAGAGCTCCCACGTGCCATTAATGCAGCCAGAAAGGAGCATGCTGAGCTCTGCCATTGGGGTTTCTCTCCTTTCACTGCCAGCCAGCTTGCAAGGGATGTGGGACCGCACGGTGATCATCGGGAGCGCTGGGAAGACCTTCAGTGCCACTGGATGGAAGGTGAATGTCCCATGTGGCACCTCGTTGTGTCCCCATCCCTGTCCCTTTGCCGCAGCACAGCAAACGGGGACGCTGTGGCCACACTCAGCTTTGAGCCTCAGGGTCTGAAAGTACCAACGGTGCTTCATGAAAGTTCTGTCTAGAAAGAGCAATGAAACCAGCACAGGCACAGAAAAGGGAGCCTGAGCAGGCAGCCAGACTCACCATCCTCCTCCTCTCCTGGCCACAGGTGGGCTGGGTTGTGGGACCTGACAGGCTGCTGCAGCACCTCCGTACCGTGCACCAGAACTCCGTGTACCACTGTGCCACAATTGCCCAGGTAAGGCAGCTCCCTGCAATTCCCAGGGGTAAGAGATGGTCCTCTTGGCCACAGCTGACCTGAAAGACACACACAAGTGATTTGTGGTGCCCTGAAGAGGCTCCTTCCTCTCTCCCTACAGTTATTCCGTGTCTGGGAGAAAGGGGAGAGTCCAGCCTGCCTGGGGTATATTCCTTATCTTGCATTCACAAATTTAAGGGGCAGTTCAGAGGGGCTGGTGGCAGAGAGCTCCCTTATCACCTGTAAATTGCAGGAACTTCAATTCCCAAGAAAGCCTTGACCACTGGGCACTGGCCCCTCTCCTTACAGGAGGCCGTGGCTCAGGGTTTCCAGAGGGAGCTCATGCTCTATGGAAAACCAGAGAGCTACTTCGTCCAGCTGCCCAAGGAGCTGCAGCAGAAGAGAGACTGGCTGGTTCAGAGCCTGGATGGGGTGGGGATGAAACCCATCATCCCAGAGGGCACCTACTTCCTGGTGGCAGACATCTCCCCGTTCAGTGAGTCACCTGCAGTCCTGCCCAGGTGGGCTGGGTGTGGGGTGTGGCACTGCTGGCAGGGACAGGAACCTGCATAAACCATCATCAAAGCAGGGATGGGCTGCATGATCCCCATCCCAGCTGCAAGGATGGGGGCTTGGGGCTCAGCTGAGGCACCTGGCAGCTGTCCCAGCCTCTGTCCTGCTGTGCATCTCCTGCAGAATCTGATGTCCCTGATGTCCCCAACTCAGATGAGCCCTACGACTCCAGATTTGCAAAGTGGATGGTCAAGAACAAGGTAAAAGGGTCTGGCCCTTCCTGCTGCCTTTACCCTGAGGGGGTTTGTGCCCACCCAAACTCATGGCTGGGGGGCCTGGAGTTCACCCACACTGGGACACAGCTGGCTGCAGGCCAGCACCCTCAGCTCCACGTGCTTCCTCCTCCCAGGGGCTTGCTGCCATCCCGCTCTCCGCTTTCTACAGCGAGGCCCACAAGAACAACTACACCAATTTCATCCGGTTCTGCTTTGCAAAGGTGAGACATGGACAGCACTAAGGAAGGCAAGGTTGGGAGTAATAATCAGGGCTGGTTTAATGAGAGAAATGCCAAGAAGAAATGCAGGATGCCTTGGGCATTGGAGCCCACCATGGCATCCCAGCTGGAGCTACTCCTGCAGACACATGAGCTGAGCTGGGGGCAGCAGATGTGCCAGGGCTATCCTAAACGTCCTGACTTTTCCCATCAGCATCCTGCATTTCTTAGCCAAGGAAGGGACTCTCTAGGTGCCCCTTTAGCTGCCCAGTGGCTGTGTCTGTCTCATACTGAACCTGCAATGCCTCAGAATGAGAACAGGATTTTTGTGTCAACAGTGGCTGCAGTGAGGGGGAATGGGATTTGGCTGGGAGCCACTGACCATGTCTGTGGTATTTTTTAGGAGGAAGCTACCCTGAAGGCAGCAAGTGACATATTGCAAAAATGGAAACAGGAGAAAACCAGCTCCTGAATACACTGAGAACCACGCTCTCCTTGGCCATCATCTGCCCCAGCTGCTCTTCTTCTTCACTTGTCTACAAACTTTGGTATGTTCTTACTTCAGTGCTTTCAACAACATTTTCTGACAGACAAATGGTTAAGTTTTTCCAGGCCCAGGACCTGGGGGACATTTTCAATCACTGTGAAATGATTTCAAGAAGTGAGACTTTGTGTGCACTGACAGCATTTGATATTTCTTACATGTGAAAACTTTGATAATCAGTTCTGGGATACGTCCAGCAACACACAAGGTGAGGATGGCTTCTGGGCTCTGTCTCATCACCAAATTCTGAAAAGGTGTTTCAGGACCTATCTTTAAGGCTGTGCTTTAGTGTGGCTTGTCTTGTTCCACATCCCCACTCAGGGCAGCATTTCCACCAGCACTCACGTTCCCACAGGACTAGAGAGTATCACCAGCCATCAGTAAGGTGACTCCTATGATCCTGACAATTACAAACCCAGTGAAATGACATTTGTCATCATAAATTATTTTCCCACTATTTTTCTCTTTGCATCTCTGGGGAAAATGACCACACAATTGGTTTTCCCCAGGAAACAGGCTTTCACCATTAGCCTGGCTATTGTCAAACCTTCCAGATTACTCCTGGCACTTTCTCAGGGCTTGGCAGCATCGTCCAGGCTCCAGAGCAGAACTTTTTCTGGCCTTTGACAAATGCACACAGTGGCTGGGGAGAATGGGCACTGTGGCTTTGGCTGCTCCTGCTGCTGGTGGCCACCACAACCTCCCACCCAGTGAGCTGGTGGGGTAACATGAACAATTCTGGACAGTTAATTCTTGCATCAGCATTGATGTCAGCCTGGATAAGAGTGTAAAACATCATCATCAACCATGCGGGAGTTGTGTGCAACAGACTGTGCAATGAGTGTTTGTAGCAGATAAATTATTAAAGAAGAATTACTGCAATCATGGAAGAGTGTCTCTGTAATGACTGCAGGACTGATGGAGCTCTCCTTGAGAGCTGCCTCATCTCTGCTGGGTCCTGTGATGGTGGCTACTTGTCCCACTCAGGCTGGTGGGGAGAGCTCTGTAGGTTTTCCATTTTGGGCTGCAGTTTGGTGATACCAATCCCTTGGAGGCAGAGCTGCGTGGGCCAGCAGGAGGGAGGGAGAGAGGGAAGGAGGCAAACAGCCCCCTGCCTTTCCTGGCGTCCCATCTCACCTGCTTGCTCAGCCTGGCTGGGTGGGGGTGCTGCTGAAAGCCCTTTTGCACCCATATATCTACCAAACATAGGGGGGAGTCTGAAACAGAGAAAGAACCGTGCAATTAGATTGGTATGAAGATTAATTGCAGCACCCCCACATGTGTGGGCTCCTGTCTAGGCCGTGACACAACCTGCAAAGGGCAGGGTGCATCTGTGTATCGTCAGAACACACGCAGGGCTTGTGCAAAGACACGCAGACGCAAGTACGCAATTTTACACACACGACCACGTGGGAATTGTGTACTGGGCACTGGCCCATCGGTGGGAATTGTGATCGGTGGGAATCGTGATCTTCCCCGCCCACGGGCTGCGCCCGGGTCACCCATCCTGCCGCGGAACGCGACCGACCCTGCTTAGCTCCGCTGCCGCGCGGGCCGATTGAACACAAACCACGTGACCTCGGGCTCCTCCCCGCAGTGGGCGGGGCCCGCGCGCTCCGACCAATCAGCAGCGCGGGGGCGCGGCCGGCAGCGCGGGGAAGATGGCGGACACGGAGAGCGGCGTGGGGAAGCGGCCCAGGGGCGCGCAGGTGGGCGGTGAGGGGGGCCCGGGTCCAGCCCGCGACCCCGAGGGGAGCCCGGGGCGTTGCTCGGGTCCCGCTCTGAGGGGAGCCCGGCGGTAACGCGTGCTGTCCCCGTAGGTTGAGGACAGGAAGGTGGACTGGCGGCGCTGGAAGCAGGAGAGTAAGGAAAGCCGGGCACACGCTGGGGCTGGGGCCGCTCGGAGCGGGCACGGCGCGGTGTTTAACGCCAGGCGCTGTTCTCCGTCCCAGGGAAAGCAGAGACGAAGAAATGGAAGGAAATTAAGCTGCTGAAGAAACTGGACAAGCAGCGGATGCGAGAGCTGGCAGAACAGCAAGCCCAGACGCAGGAGGAGCAGAAGGAAGACAGAGGTGATGCTGCTGTGACCCAGTGGGGAGACCTGGGTGGAAAGTGCTAGAAAACCTGGCTGTTAAAAGGCAATCAGTGTTACCTGTCGATAGGAAAGGTGTTACTTCATAGATTGATGTGGATCAGTCCACATGCCCAAACAGGCACAAACACTGCACTAGAGATCTTTCTTAAGAGAAAACCAGTGATTAAACCTGAGAAGCTGCTTTTCCCCCACCCCGCGTGCAGCTGAAGCAGAAAACGTGCTGCTGCACCCGGGCTCTCCCATGCCTCTGCTCCCTGCTGCGCCCGGGCTCTCCCATGCCTCTGCACCCGGGCTCTCCCATGCCTCTGCTCCCTGCTGCACCCGGGCTCTCTCATGCCTCTGCTCCCTGCTGCGCCCGGGCTCTCCCATGCCTCTGCACCCGGGCTCTCTCATGCCTCTGCTCCCTGCTGCACCCGGGCTCTCCCATGCCTCTGCTCCCTGCTGCGCCCGGGCTCTCCCATGCCTCTGCTCCCCAGGCCGGCAGCACACGCTGAGCGTGGCCCTGCCCGGCTCCATCCTGAACAACGCGCAGTCGCCGGCGCTGCGCTCCTACCTGGCCGGACAGATCGCCCGCGCCTGCGCCATCTTCTGCGTGGATGAGATCGTGGTGTTCGACGAGCACGGAGAGGATGTGAAGTAAGGCAAAGACTGAAGGAGAGCATGCTTAGGATTGCAGGAAGGAGTTCTTCCCTTTGAGGGCGGTGAGGCCCTGGCACAGCTTTCCTGGAGAAGCTGTGGTTGCATTGTCCCTGGAAGTGTCCAGGGCCAGCTTGGATGGGGCTTGGGGCAAACTGGGATAGTGGAAGGTGTCCCTGCTCGTGACAGGAGGTGGAACAAGATGATATTTCAAGTTCCCTTCCAACCCAGGCCATTCTGTGATTCTCTGAAAGAAGAGCCATCTTGTTCTGCGTGGTATTTCCTCTCAGCTTTCTGTTCCTTCACTCTTTTATTAAGCTAAGGCCAGGAAGGAACTGCATGTACCTCTCCCCAGTGCCAGGAGTATGGGGACCACTATACCCCAGGGAAAAAGGTGTTGACTGAACTGCCCTGGCAGCTCAGATCATTTATCCCAACATGGGGTTAACAAAGCAACAGGAGGCCAAGTTCTCCTGTACTCTTAAACCTTGCTATGGAGGGATAGGACATCTGTCAAGACATCTTCCTGACATCCTGCCACATCACAATCATACATAAGAATCAAAAAACAAAACTAAAAAAGGTACTTGGCTTGGAGAGAGTTCCAAGGATGATTTTTTAACAGATTGTCTGTGGAGCAGCCGTCTTACAAGGGTGAGAGGGGAGGGATGTGCTGCTATTGTCAGATTAAGAAGCAAGGCTTGGTCTTCTGGAGACCTGACCAATCTCATGCGGAGTTAACAAGCTGCTTGCTTTCACTTTCAGGAGCGTGGAGGGGGATTTTGAAGGAGTTGAGAAGAAAGGCAATGCTTGTGTGCAGCTGGCTCGGATCCTGCAGTACTTGGAGTGCCCTCAGTAAGTTTGCTACTCTCTATACTCAGCTATTTGAGTCAGAACAGGGCTAGAATTGAGATCCAGATTCCATAAAAATACCTTTTCAGATTTCACCTTTCTCTGGCGACAGGTACTTGAGGAAATCCTTTTTTCCAAAACACGAGGATCTGCAGTTTGCAGGTAAATGCAGTTCTCTCTCTCCTTCCTGACCTCTGGCTCCTTGTGTGTGGGACAGCCAGGACTTTTCCCCACTTCAGCACTGGACCCGAGAGGGAAGGAGCAGGGGAGCACCTGCACCTCCACCTGTGCTTCCCCCCAGCTGCTTTTTGCTCTGTGCTGCTCTAGGGCTGCTCAACCCCCTGGACAGCCCCCACCACATGCGGGTGGACGAGGACTCGGAGTACCGGGAGGGCGTCGTGCTGGACCGGCCAACGAAGCCAGGCAGAGGCTCTTTTGTTAACTGTGGGATGAGGAAGGTGTGTCTGTTACCCACACGTGCCAAAACAGCTTCCCTTGTCTCTCTGGCAGATTTGCAGCAGGCAGGGTGGGCGCTGCTGGGTTTCTGAAGGCTGCAGTGGGCTGGTGGGGGTTTAAGGCTGTTGCTGTCTTGTCCCTTATGACTTGGTAATGTTTGTGGCTTCCCAAGCCCCAGCAGGCCCCAGGCATTCCAGCAGATCATTGCTTTACTGCTGCAGCTGAACCTTTGAGTAGCGAAATAAGCCTCAGACTGATGAGCAAGCCCGAACCACACACAGAGCTCTTCATCTCAGCTCCATGCCAGAACAGACCCCCAGTTCTTCAAAGCATTCCCTTCCTTCCCCACCTTCCCCAGTCCTTGCAGAATGTCTGGTGCTGATGGTGACTGTCACTGCAGGAGGTGCAGATTGACAAACAGCTGAACCCTGGTCTGCGAGTCACTGTACGCCTGCAGGAGCCCCAGAATCCAGGTAATCCATGGCTCCAGGAGCATCTGTAAACTTCAGTCCTGCAGGAGCTGGTCCTTCTGTATGACAGGTTTGAAGGTACCCAACAGTTCTGCATGTTCCCTTCACTCCATACACAATAACACCCTTACCATGCCTCCCTCAGTAACTGGAAAGAACTGTCAGCTCTTCTTCTCAGCAGTAAATAGCCCAAACACAAGCTCACAGGCTTTCCAGAACTTACCAATTTCCAGAATACTTTTTCACATTCTAGAAAAAGAGAGGGTAATGGCTGTGGCTGGTCAAATCTCACCAGATCACAGGGGCTGTTTAACCTCTTTGCTTTCCTTCAGAAGCCAAAGTGCGGAAAGGCACCGTGGTGTCCTCGCACCACCCCCGGGCAGTCTCGGGCTTGTACTGGGGTTACAGCGTCCGCCTGGCCTCCTGCTTGAGTGAGTATCCAGGGAGATTCCCTGCCTGGGCATCCACACCAGTCTCAGGCCTGCTGGCTGCATGCATCTCTTTCCTAGAAAGCTCCTTGTCTGAAGGAGACGTGCACGTTACATGTGCAGCCAGCAGCCATGTGGCAGTCAGATTTTTGGGATGAAACGAGGCATGAACCACCCCAGTCACCCCCAGGACTGTGTCCTGTAACCTCCACTCAGCATTGCTCCAAATGGCTGCACAACAGCAAGAGATGAGTTGATGCCCTTCTCTACTTCCATGATAACTACATCCCACTCATTCACATCAGAGCCAGCAATTGGAGTTCAAGACCCCTGAAAAATTGTTTTCATATCTTCTGGTTGATGGGACCTTGTAGGAAGACTGTAAGCTGTTAGGGGGTGGTCCTGGCACCTGTCTTGAGCTTTGAGGAGAAGGATGTGGGAGACTTGCAGCAAGGGAATTATATGGGAAAGAAGAGTCACTCTGTCTCCAGCTGCAGTTTTGGCACTGAAAGCAACTCCTGCTGCACCCACTCAACCATGGAGTGTTTTACCCTGTCCAGAAGGCACACAGGTGAGCACATGGCAGCAGTAACCCCAAACTCTTGTTTTCCAGGTGCTGTCTTTTCCGAGTGCCCATTCAAGGAAGGTTATGATCTCTCTATTGGGACCTCAGAGCGGGGCAGCTCTGTGGACCAGGTCACTCTGCCCTCCTTCAGGTTTGTGTCCTGCCTGCTTGGACTCACTCAGAGCTCCCAGTGAGGCTGGTGCAGGCAGCAGAGCAGGGGAAATACCTCAGAACAAGGCCAGTTCTTTTTCTCTGCAGTTGGTAGCAGGGACTGTCACATTGGCCAGATGCTGTGGGGCTTTTGTGGGGAGGCAGCTGCAGTGGGAACCATCAGCAACAGACACAGCTCCCTGTTCAGCACACAGGAGCCTGGATGCAGT